GGCAACACTGACTAGTGGTGAGCCAAGGTACTGGCAACACTGTCTAGTGGTGAGCCAAGGTACTGGCAACACTGTCTAGTGGTGAGCCAAGGTACTGGCAACACTGACTAGTGGTGAGCCAAGGTACTGGCAACACTGACTAGTGGTGAGCCAAGGTACTGGCAACACTGACTAGTGGTGAGCCAAGGTACTGGCAACACTGACTAGTGGTGAGCCAAGGTACTGGCAACACTGTCTAGTGGTGAGCCAAGGTACTGGCAACACTGTCTAGTGGTGAGCCAAGGTACTGGCAACACTGACTAGTGGTGAGCCAAGGTACTGGCAACACTGTCTAGTGGTGAGCCAAGGTACTGGCAACACTGACTAGTGGTGAGCCAAGGTACTGGCAACACTGTCTAGTGGTGAGCCAAGGTACTGGCAACACTGACTAGTGGTGAGCCAAGGTACTGGCAACACAGTCTAGTGGTGAGCCAAGGTACTGGTAACACAGTCTAGTGGTGAGCCAAGGTACTGGCAACACTGTCTAGTGGTGAGCCAAGGTACTGGCAACACTGACTAGTGGTGAGCCAAGGTACTTGCAACACTGTCTAGTGGTGAGCCAAGGTACTGGCAACAGTCTTGTGGTGAGCCAAGGTACTGGCAACACAGTCTAGTGGTGAGCCAAGGTACTGGTAACACAGTCTAATGGTGAGCCAAGGTTACTGGCAACACAGTCTAGTGGTGAGCCAAGGTACTGGCAACACAGTCTAGTGGTGAGCCAAGGTACTGGTAGCACTGTCCTGTGGCGAGCCAAGGTACTGGCAACACTGTCTAGTGGTGAGCCAAGGTAATGGCAACACAGTCTAGTGGTGAGCCAAGGTACTGGTAACACTGTCTATTGGTGAACCAAGGTACTGGCAACACTGTCTTGGGGTGAGCCAAGGTACTGGCAACACCGTCTAGTGGTGAGCCAAGGTACTGGCAACACTGTCTAGTGGTGAGCCAAGGTACTGGCAACACCGTCTAGTGGTGAGCCAAGCCCTGGCAACACCTTCTAGTGGCAAGCCAAGGTACTGGTGTAATGATCTGGGGCTCAGATCATTGGTTCTCCCTTCTCCCCTCTTTTCCCTCCCCTTCTCCCCTCCTTTCCTTCTCCCTCTCCCCTCCTTCCTTCTCCCCTCCCCTTGGCCGTCATTCGTCTCCTCCTCTTCCCCCCCCCCTGTCGCCCATTTGTCAGGGTCAAGAGGTTGACCTGAGGGTAGGGTGGTCGTGGATACCTTGGCTTCTCCCACTCAACTTCCCCCTCTCATCCCCTCTCTTTCCCTCACATTCCCTCTCTTTCCCTCTCAGCAGCGGCCTTCCCCATACCAGAGTCAAATGTCCCTACTCCTATCTTAGAGGAGACAGGCTTGAACATAAATTATCAGTTTTGTAAACATTGCTCGCAGGTGCCTGGGCTCCATAGACGCGCCTTGTCCCCCTTCTCTTTAGCTGGGGAGAGCTGACTCAATCTTCAGAAATTCATGTAGCTTTCCACGACAGATCAGTGAAGGTGATTGGCCTGAGATAAGGGCCAAGTCCTTATTGGCCCTAGAGAGCCAGACCTCAGGCCTACGTGTTAAATGGTTGGCCATTGCCAAAATAATGGGTGGAGCCCTGGGGCTGTATTAGATGGTGGGAGGAGTAATCCTTCCCAGCAATAAGTTGGAAAAAAAAAATTCATCAGTGTGTCTCGGCCATCAACATCGTGGCCGTAGTGCGGGTATTTAAGGTATAGTAGCACTTGAGTTTTGTGTCCTCGGTAAATATCCATTGTGCCTCTAGGGAAATAGAATAGGTGATGTGTCCAAATTGTCTTAATTTACATGTTTCATAAAATAAATTGTATAGCTTGTCCAGTGGTATGCACTTAACTCCCCTTTGATATATTTTGCTACTTTGTCATTTTTAGGTGTTGTATTGGAAGCCCCCCAGGTTCTCCTAACAATTAATCGATACTAAAGTTGCCCTTGGATTTAAATTAGTAACGTAAATTACACAAACTAATTTTCCAGAATTTATTACTGAAATTCATATTACCCGGAGTCCCATGATTACTGATTCCTTGCCTTCCTGGGGGATCGGTGATAGACACATTCAGGTATGGTTGGTCAGGAAGGTGGTGGCAGTGCAAATGTGTTTTGTTATATTTTTTAACTAATAACCCTTGTCCTTGGTGTATCTTTCTCATTTAATATTCATCTTACATACGGGGCAGTCCAGTGAGGGGTCATGCTGGACTGTAACAGTGTTAAGCTGGGGTATTGAGTGAACAGAGACAGAGAATTACAACAGAGAGCGTATAGTACGATTATGAGAGATCACAAGATAACAGGATTAATACTGGGGAACATTGGGTTATTACAATAGAGGCCGCGGTTATTACCCCCAGACGAAAGCGGTCATTACACTGGCAACACTGTCTAGTGGTGAGCCAAGCCTTGGCAACACCGTCTAGTGGTGAGCCAAGCCCTGGCAACACCGTCTAGTGGTGAGCCAAGGTACTGGCAACACCTTCTAGTGGTGAGCCAAGGTACTGGCAACACCGTCTAGTGGTGAGCCAAGGTACTGGCAACACCATCTAGTGGTGAGCCAAGCCCTGGCAACGCTGTCTTATGGTGAGCCAAGGTTCTGGCAACACCGTCTAGTGGTGAGCCAAGGTACTGGCAACACTGTCTAGTGGTGAGCCAAGGTACTGGCCACACTGTCTAGTGGTGAGCCAAGGTACTGGCAACACCGTCTAGTGGTGAGCCAAGGTACTGGCAACACCTTCTAGTGGTGAGCCAAGGTACTGGCAACACTGTCTAGTCGTGAGCCAAGGTACTGGCAACACTGTCAAGTGGTGAGCCAAGGTACTGGCACCACCATCTAGTGGTGAGCCAAGGTACTGGCAACACCATCTAGTGGTGAGCCAAGGTACTGGCAACACGTCTAGTGGTGAGCCAAAGTACTGGCAACACTGTCTAGTGGTGAGCCAAGGTACTGGCAACACTGTCTAGTGGTGAGCCAAGGTACTGGCAACACTGTCTAGTGGTGAGCCAAGGTACTGGCAACACTGTCTAGTGGTGAGCCAAGGTACTGGCAACACTGTCTAGTGGTGAGCCAAGGTACTGGCAACACTGTCTAGTGGTGAGCCAAGGTACTGGCAACACTGTCTAGTGGTGAGCCAAGGTACTGGCCACACTGTCTAGTGGTGAGCCAAGGTACTGGCAACACCGTCTAGTGGTGAGCCAAGGTACTGGCAACACTGTCTAGTGGTGAACCAAGGTACTGGCCACACTGTCTAGTGGTGAGCCAAGGTACTGGCAACACAGTCTAGTGGTGAGCCAAGGTACTGGCCACACTGTCTAGTGGTGAGCCAAGGTACTGGCAACACCGTCTAGTGGTGAGCCAAGGTACTGGCAACACTGTCTAGTGGTGAACCAAGGTACTGGCCACACTGTCTAGTGGTGAGCCAAGGTACTGGCAACACTGTCTAGTGGTGAGCCAAGGTACTGGCAACACTGTCTAGTGGTGAGAAAAGGTACTGGCAACACTGTCTAGTGGTGAGCCAAGGTACTGGCCACACCATCTAGTGGTGAGCCAAGGTACTGGCCACACTGTCTAGTGGTGAGCCAAGGTACTGGCAACACCGTCTAGTGGTGAGCCAAGGTACTGGCAACACTGTCTAGTGGTGAACCACGGTACTGGCCACACTGTCTAGTGGTGAGCCAAGGTACTGGCAACACTGTCTAGTGGTGAGCCAAGGTACTGGCCACACCATCTAGTGGTGAGCCAAGGTACTGGCAACACTGTCTAGTGGTGAGCCAAGGTACTGGCAACACTGTCTAGTGGTGAGCCAAGGTACTGGCCACACCATCTAGTGGTGAGCCAAGGTACTGGCAACACTGTCTAGTGGTGAGCCAAGGTACTGGCAACACTGTCTAGTGGTGAACCAAGGTACTGGCCACACTGTCTAGTGGTGAGCCAAGGTACTGGCAACACTGTCTAGTGGTGAGCCAAGGTACTGGCCACACCATCTAGTGGTGAGCCAAGGTACTGGCCACACTGTCTAGTGGTGAGCCAAGGTACTGGCAACACTGTCTAGTGGTGAGCCAAGGTACTGGCCACACCATCTAGTGGTGAGCCAAGGTACTGGCAACACTGTCTAGTGGTGAGCCAAGGTACTGGCAACACTGTCTAGTGGTGAGCCAAGGAAGTGATATTACAGTATCGAGACAACAGCTCAGCAACGTTGCCAAATCTGAAGGGAAACAATGTAATAGTGATGATTGTAGACTTGATGCAAACAGATCAGCGAAGAAATGGTTCACATAAGAAAATATGATTCTGGCAATTTGGAGTTTATTGTTGACAACAGTGCCAAAACATTCTTTTAAATATATCCAAAGTTAATCGCCAGAATTATAAACGTCGCTTGTTTTTGGAGATTAACAAAACTTAACTTATCAGTAGCGTTTAACAAGGCTTAACTTAATGCTTTAACACGTGGACACAAGACTATGTTAGGAGAAAATGTTGCAACAACATTGACAGGTTGTCAATGTCTCAACACAACACTTTATGTCTGAGTATCTACCGGGATGAGAATATGAGTGATGGTCTATGGAACAAACTACTGGGTAACATAATACACTTGGAACAACTGCATTGTTTCATGTGCAGCCTTGACATATATATATATATATATATATATATATATATATATATATATATATATATATATATATATATATATATATGACAATGTCAGACCACGGAGGAAAAATGAAACAGGAAATTTCCTTAAGTACGTTGGACCTTCTGAAGATGTATTTAATATACGAAAGTACTTAAGGAAATTTCCTGTTTCATTTTTCCTCCGTGGTCTGACATTGTCACATTCTTAATCACGTGTTTATTTTCGTGATATACACACACACATATATATATATATATATATATATATATATATATATATATATATATATATATATATATATATATATATATATATATATATATATATATATATATATATATATATATATATATATATATATATATGAGTGAGTTTGATTGACTATCAAGAGGAACTCCTACGCATGAGTCTTGTGTAGTCTGTTGTGTTGTTGAGGTAACTCTACCACCAGGAGCTGCAGTCTCTCAGGTAGGAGTGAGGAGAGGGTGCGGTGTGTCTCAGGTAGGAGTGAGCTAGGAGACGTGAGAGGGGGCAGTGTGTCTCTGAAAGGAGTGAGGAGAGGTGAGAGAGGCGGTGTGTCTCAGCGTCCTGGGAGTACCAGCGGAGGTCGTAGGCCTGGGGAGGTCGTAGGCCTGGGCAGGTCGTAGGCCTGGGAGAACCAGCGGAGGTCGTAGGCCTGGGCAGCGGGCATCAGGAGCCACAGGACGAAGGCCGTGTACATCATTGCTGCCAACACCCACATGGTCACGGAGTAGCTCCCGCTGCTGTCACGGATCACACCTGTGGCACGGACACAACTGGTCAACACCTGTGGCACGGACACAACTGGTAAATACCTGTGGCACGGACACAACTGGGCAACACCTGCGGCACGGACACAACTGATAAACACCTGCGTCACGGACACGACTGATGCAGCGCACTATCTACGACATAGGCATGTGTAATGATGGTACTAATGATGTTAAAGATACAAATGAGGTTATGGATGTAAAGGGGTAATGATGATAATCATCAAATTAAAAACAAATAAATAATTAAAATAAACAAATACAAAATAAAAAAATTCAAAAGGGTCATTCAGCGTGTCGGGTAGACAGTTCCATTTTTTATGATGGGTGAACGTTCACTTAAAATGTTTTGTCCGAGTATCAAAATGTTTCGTTCATAGAATTTTTTTTAGTTAAAAAATGGAAGTAATGAGTGATATGAGATGTGTGAGTGAGAGAGAGAGAGAGAGAGAGAGAGAGAGAGAGAGAGAGAGAGAGAGAGAGAGAGAGAGAGAGAGAGAGAGAGAGAGAGAGAGAGAGAGAGAGATAGAGAAAGTGTGGTATAGATGAAATCAAATATAAAGGTGAAATATATCAATAATAATAATATTAAAATGAGTGGAGACGGGTCATAGTGAACTAGCCTGTGAAGATGTGTGTACATAGTAAACTCATGTGTGCAATAACTGTTATTGTCTCCGTGGGAATGTATAGATACTCTCTCTCTCTCTCTCTTCCCTCCAGACGTAAGTGGCAGTGTTCCCCTCTCACACAATGGGGCCACATGTTGTACAAAGTCCAGCCGAGGGTGTAGAGGTCACCTGCAGGGATCCCCTGATGGAGCCACCGTGATTATCACTTCATTGTTCTTTCCCCGAAATTGTCTCCCAACTGAGAAGGTTATCAAGCTCTCATGAGACCACATCCTCCCCTCCTTTCACCTAGCAGCCATTTAGCACCTGGGCAGGGGCTCGTCACCTATCAAATCTTAGCCCCCAGCTCAAGGGTTGGAGGAGGGGGGGGTGTATGAAAGCTATTCAGCTCGAGTTTAAAAAATTTAGGGGGAACTATTGTTTCACAGAGCGAGCGTGTGAGGTAGTTGACAGAGAAAAAGTGAGAGAGAGAGAGAGAGAGAGAAGTATCAGTCAGAAAGACAGACAGACAAAGAGACATGTTAGCCTTTTAATTCTAAGTCGGTTGGTGTATAGCCAATCCTGTGGCCAGTGAGCCATGACGTCACTCCTCAGTGCAGCGCCGCTTCCTAGTATTCCGCCAGGTCCTCACAGACCTAGTAAAGAGCAGGACCTCAGGACCCTGGTGTGTTGGTTATGTATTCTCTTTACTTCAGCCAATAAAGCCCAAGAAGTCAGCTTGTGTATTTCTTCAGACCAAAGCAAGATCCAATCATCAACTGAATAAAATAACAACCCATTCGGGTTGAACCCGGCACCTCGCGTGTTCACACACATTACCCAGGTCATCGTGGCACGTGTGCGTCTGTTAGGTGTTCGGGTGTTGGATTGCCTCAATGACTGGCTGGTTTGGGCTCCCATACGGTCGCGTGTCTGCTCGCCTGGGATTTGATGCTTTCCCAGCAAGCCAGGTTCAAGTTCCTAGTAAACTGGTGGAAGTCCCATCTGGTTCTCTCCCAGGTTCGGACCTGGCTGGGTCTTGTGTGGGACTCTCGGACTGCTTCCTTATCTCTTCCTCCAGAGTCTCTCGTTTGGCTGCAGTCCTGCATGCCCTTGTTTCTGAAAGGCTCCCGGGTCTCCCGGCGGTTTGCTCGAGGGTCTGTGCGAGAGCCTGAACTTTGCAATGATAGTCTACTCGCTGGGTCGGGTTTGGCTTCTTCAGCTTTTCTGGTTCCTTCCGGGATGTTCCTTCCACCTCTCTCGCGATCGCTGGGTCGACCCCCGGAGGCTTTGTGTTGGCTGCTGCATCGCCGGCTTCCTCTTCGGGTTTTTTGGGGTTCAGTGCCTTGGCACCTATCCGAGCCCTCGCTCCATGTGTTTACGGACGCGTCGTCTCTCGGCTGGGGCTTTGTGGCCAGTGCTCACCAGGCCAGTCAGGGGCAGTAGGGTCAGTCCTTCCGTCTGGCCCACAGCACGGTGTGGGAGTTCGTGGCGTTATGGTTTGCGCTTCGGAGGGTTCGGGTCACCCGCTGATAGACGATCAGGCTCCATTTAGACTACTCCCCAGTGGTTCATTGCATGAACCGAGGGGGAGGGTTCAAATGCGGTCCTTGGCTCTTTGGGGCTGGTTGCTTCGGGTGACTCGTCTGCTGAGTTCTCGGGGTTTGGCTCCCTTGGCGGTTCATGTTCAAGGGGTCTCCAACGTCCTTGCGGATGGTCTGTCTTCGTTCGTTCCTCTGTCCACGTAATGGACGTTCGATGCCAACTAAGATGTTGATAATTTTGTTTTAGGCAATACATTGAGTTGTATTGTTCATACCTAATGCTTAGACATGCTCATGTTCTTCATGCAGACGAGAAGTCACAATAACGTGGCTGAAATATGTTGACCAAACCACACACTAGAAAGTGAAGGGACGACAACGTTTCGGTCCGTCCTGGACCATTCTCAAGTCGATTGAGAATGTCGTCGTCCCTTCACTTTCTAGTGTGTGGTTTGGTCAGCATGTTCTTCATGCTCTTGCTCCAGAAAATGCATTGTTACCATGATTTTTCACTGAGTCAATTATGAACTAATTTTTGTTCACATGCCAAATGGTGTTAGTATTATACACACGTGATCTAATCTTTTATGTTTATTCTGAAACTTTGCATGTATGACATTATTTTTGTCACAAAGGGTCCTTCATTATCATTGTAACTAGCTAGCTAGAGATTGTCGACAAGGAACGTCGACTTGGTAGCATCTACGAGCTGTGTTAGCCATTAAATTCAAAGTCAGTTGGTGTATAGCCAATCCTGTGGCCAGTGAGCCATGACGTCATTCCTCAGAAGAGCGTCCCTTCCTAATAGACCGCCAATACCTCACAGACCTAGTTAAGGACATCAGGACCCTGGTGTGCTGGTATATATATGTATATATATATATATATATATATATATATATATATATATATATATATATATATATATATATATATATATATATATATATATATATATATATATATATATATATATATATATATATATATATATATATATATATAATGTGTGTATATCACGAAAATAACCACGTGATTAAGAATGTGACAATGTCAGACCACGGAGGAAAAATGAAACAGTAATTTCCTTAAGTACTTTCGTATATTAAATACATCTTCAGAAGGTCGCCGGCTTCCTCTTCGGGTTTTTTGGGGTTCAGTGCCTTGGCACCTTGACCTTCTGAAGATGTATTTAATATACGAAAGTTCTTAAGGAAATTCCTGTTTCATTTTTCCTCCGTGGTCTGACATTGTCATATATATAATGTGTGTATGTGTAATCTGGTAAATGATTTCTGTGTTGTTTGTTAAGACTTCTCTGGTGATGGTCTGGTTGTGGGAAGAGATTATATGTTCCTTAATGGAGCCCTGTTGCTTATGCATCGTTAATCGCTTGGAAAGATATGTTGTTGTCTTGCCTATATACTGAGTTCTTTGAGGCTTACAGTCCCCAAGAGGGCATTTGAAGGCATAGACGACGTTGGTCTCTTTTAAAGCGTTCTGCTTTGTGTCTGGAGAGTTTCTCATGAGTAGGTTGGCCGTTTTTTTTGGTTTTATAGTAAATTGTCAATTGTATCTTCTGATTTTTGTCTGTAGGGATAACGTTTCTATTAACAATATCTTTCAAGACCCTTTCCTCCGTTTTATGAGCTGTGGAAAAGAAGTTCCTGTAAAATAGTCTAATAGGGGGGTACAGGTGTTATGTTAGTTGTCTCTTCAGAGGTTGCATGGCATTTCACCTTCCTTCTTATGATGTCTTCAACAAAACCATTGGAGAAGCCGTTGTTGACTAGGACCTGCCTTACCCTACAGAGTTCTTCATCGACTTGCTTCCATCCTGAGCTGTGGCTGAGAGCACGGTCGACATAAGCGTTAACGACACTCCTCTTGTACCTGTCTGGGCAGTCACTGTTGGCATTGAGGCACATTCCTATGTTTGTTTCCTTAGTGTGGAAACCTCCGCTCCTTTCCATGACTGTTACATCTAGAAAGGGCAGCTTCCCATCCTTCTCCATCTCGTAAGTGAAACGCAACACAGAATTCCGCTCAAATGCCTCCTTCAGCTCCTGGAGATGTCTGACATCAGGTACCTGTGTAAAAATGTCGTCAACATACCTGCAGTATATGGCCGGTTTCAAGTTCATGTCGACTAAGACCTTTTGTTCGATGGTACCCATATAGAAGTTCGCAAACAGGACACCTAGGGGAGAACCCATGGCGACCCCATCTACTTGTTTATACATGTGCCTATCCGGGCTCAAGAAGGGTGCCTCTTTAGTACAAGCTTGGAGTAGTTTCCTTAGAATATTTTCTGGTATGTCAAGAGGAGTACAGGCCGGATCACGATACACTTTGTCCGCTATCATCCCGATTGTTTGGATGAAAATATCAGTGGGATATTCTTGCAGCCCCAGCAACCATTATAGAGCCAACAAAACAACACAAACAGTCCAGCTGGGACCACCCTCTAGTGGAAAAAGTAACTGATGCCATGCTCAGCGCCGCAATATCAGACAAGGAGAAAGTCCGCCTCAGAGCAGTGCGTGCCACCCATGCAGGAGACTTCCTCCTGGCAGTACCCATGTCAGCAATGGGCACGCGCCTAGATCCAGAATTCCTTCGTGTAGCAGTGGCCCTCCGCCTTGGTGCCCCAATTCACACTGAATACAAGTGTATTTGCAACAAGATTGAAGCAGACCAATACGGACTGCATGGGTTGCATTGCGGAAGCACAAAGGGCTGGCATGCAAGACACAACGAGGTCAATGACATCATCAAGAGAAGCCTCGTCTCAACTAGGTGCCCAGAGGAGAGAACCTCGCATCCTAGGGGTCCAAAACCCGGATTTCCCCGCACTTCGCCCTGATGGCATCACCATATACTCATGGAAGGAGGGTAGACAGTTGGTGTGGGACTACACATGTGTATCCACCCTGGCTGACACCTATGTACACTTCGGAGCTGATCAAGCAGGTGGGGCGGCCAACCACAGGGAAACAGCAAAATCACTCAAGTACAGGCGACTGGAAGGTCAATACCTCTTTGTTCCCATTGCGTCTGAGATGCATGGCCCCTGGGGCAAGAGTGCCTTGGGATTTCTCAAGGAATTGGGTTCCAAGCTCATTGACGTCACCAGAGACCCAAGGGCTTCCAGTTTTTTGTTTCAGCGCCTCAGTGTGGCGATCCAGAGGGGAAATGCTTGCTGCGTCCTCGGTTCCTGCCCGGAAGCGGAGGAGCTTCAAGAGATCCATAACCTTTAGGCATTTGTCTTGTATGTCTTGTAACCTTTAAATACACAATAAATTTATTTATATATAATTTTAATTTATTTAATGTATATATTTATTTTAATACTTTTTATTTTCTTCTCCGAGGATATGGGTCCCCACATTGGCACCAGAGGTGGTACCCTCACAAATATTTATTTATATATATTATTTAATATATATATATATATATTTATTTAATATGTATAAATTTAATTTATTTATATTTATCACAATAAATATTTATATATATATATATATATATATATATATATATATATATATATATATATATATATATATATATATATATATATATATATATATATATATATATATATATATATATATATATATTCTTTACCTCAACTAATAAAGCCTAACTAGTCAGCCTGTGTATCTCGTCAGACCCAAGCAAGATCCAGTCATCAACAGAATAAATAAGAAGGCAGAATAGACAGACATACAGACAGATACAGACAAACAGGCAGACAGAGAGTGAAAGTTAATCACCTTCTTCATTCTTCCATAATGTGTGTAGATTTTAGTTAAAAAAAAAATCAGGTAGCATAACTTCAATATTAAGTAATATTCACCATCCTAATAACTGCATTTGTATTCCCTGCAACTTAATTAAGACATGTGTGTGTTGTGTGTGGTACAATAAATACACACTTAGCACAAATTCAATCAATATATAACTAGTACAAATTCAATCAATATATAACTAGCAGAAATACATAATTCATACAAATACAATTACAAAATATGTGTAATTAATACAAAAATTGCACAAACAATACTCAACTTGTCCAAACAATGCACAATTTGTGGGATTGTAATCAATACACAATTGCAATCATCACACTACTTGTGCAAAATACTATCAATATATAACCTGTGCAATTAATATAGAACTTGCATAATTATAATCATTGTACACTTTACTCAAATACAATCACACCCAACTTGGTCAATTAATACACAATTTGCACACTACTTACCTAAATATGTTTAGAACATCAATTATAATATGCTGAGTTTAACCAAAAATTAACCCCAAAAAGTCAGAATTTCACATACTGTATATGAATCGTTCATCTGGCATCCTAAGATCTCAATCCTCATAAATACACATATTTCCATAAGTGTTTCAACATTATTAATGCTAAACTCTATTCATCTACTTTATGTCCATTGTTTTTAATAATTTATTAATACCCCTTGTTACATCCTCTCTATAAGCTGTCAGGGGGGGGGGGGCTGACAGCCTGACAGCTGAGTGGACAGCACTCAGGATTTGTAGTCCTGAGGTTCCGGGTTCGATCTCTGGTGGAGGCGGAACCAAATGGACAGAGTTTCTTTCACCCTGATACGTCTTTTCACCTAGCAGTAAATAGGTACCTTGGAGTTAAACAGTTGCTACAGACTGCTTTCTTAAGATGTGTAACAAAAAGGAGGCCTGGTCGAGGACTGGGCCACGAGGACGCTATGCCCCGAAATCATCTCAAGATAATCTTAAGATAGATCATATCACCCATATTTATTTAGCAAACCATCCAACAGGCTTATTGGATTTAGCCTTAGTTATGTTAGGTTAGGACAGGTAGGGTTAGGTTAAGTTAGTAATTATATATTAATTTAATCAAATTTACTATATCTTATCAAAATTCACCTTAACAGAACCTAAATTTAGATTTTCTTCATCTAGCGAAATTATACTTGTACTCCCCAAATTTAACCAAATTCAACCTAATAAAAGCTAAAGTAACTAAATATAAGCACTCATATCCTCACATACAACCCTATGTGACCTCTGTCCATCCATTACAAGAGCCAGCTATAACTCAAACCCAAATAGGATAAATTACATCATTACTCGAACAAGCTAGTTCATTACCTTTAAGACATTACATATACCACCCTACACAACCTTACCTAACCTGACCTAGCACAATCAAATGTTAGATTTTATTACAGTTGGTAAAATTTAAGCTGCCTCACCTGAATTTTACTTTATTTAATTCATTTTCCACCAAATTTAACCAAATTTACTGTATCACAGAACAGCCAAAGCCCAATGTAACCAAGTTAAACCTATCTCATCAAAATTTAATGTACATTTCCAATATCCTATCACCACATAACATATCCAAATCTCATGACCATTTAATGCTGTTACTGCTCTGTCCATCTAGCCATTTTCCACATCCAGATGTGATTTTTGGCATCAATCACACCAAACCAAACTTAACAACCTAACCTAACCTAACCAGACCTGACCTAACCAAACCTAACCAGACCTAACCAGACATAACCTAACCTAACCTAACCTAACCAGACATAACCTAACCTAACCAAACCTAACCAGACCAAACCAGACCTAACCTAACCTAACCTAACCTAACCAGACCTAACCAGACCTAACCAGACATAACCTAACCTAACCTAACCTAACCAGACATAACCTAACCTAACCAAACCTAACCAGACCAAACCAGACCTAACCTAATCTAACTTAACCTAAACTAACCTAACGAGACCTAACCAGACCTAATCAGACCTAACCAGACCTAACCAATCCTAACCTTCCCTACCCTAACCCTACCCCTAACCTATCCTACCCTACCCTACCCTACCCCTAACCTATCCTACCCTACCCTACCCTACCCCTAACCTACCCTAACATTACTCAACACAATAAAAGCTAAATTTAACAGAATTTTTCCCAATTTGAATAACTTCAACTACATTTACCCTAATTAAATTTAATTAAATGTAAACTAATCACATTACAACCAAAAGCGGAAGTTAACTGTTAGTACTGTTAACATCAATTACCAACATCCAGTCTTGGCATGTCATACCCTATTCCCAAGACCATTTCATAGTGTTAGTGCTGTGTCCCTCTTGCTATTTCTATATCCAGATGTGTTTTTTCTAGCATCAATTCCACCAAACCAGACCAATCCTAGCCTAAGCTAACACAACAATAGCTAAATTCAACCACAATTATCACAGTTTAAGTAAATTTCCACTAAGTTTATCCTAATTATATCAAACCAAAAGGCAAATTCTACTAAATGCACCAATGGAAATCACATCCAGAGCTGCAGTTAGCTGTTAGAGTTGTTAATGTTTACTTCCAACGTCCATACCTCCCCAGGTTACAGCTGATTTTTGCGAATATATTTTTACCTGTAATGTTCAGGAGTACTGCTCTCCTGAACATTATAGGAGAGCAGTAGAATCTACTGAGGATTCGAACCTGTGCTGTGTAACCAGCCAAGCAGAAGCGGTAACTCCTACTGATGCATCGTTAAATGGGATTTCTTTGGCCACTAATAATAACAATAAAAATATTCTAGGTGTCACCAAAACGTGGGTTCAAATCCCACATTGCCACAAATAATTTTCTCAATAATAACATTGCTTGATAACATTGCACACTTACCTTATAAAATATATTTAAAGCTTACCGAGCCAAATGGGACACGTACCAATTAAGGGTCCAATGGTGAAGAAGCCGAGCGCCACCATGAAGTTCCTGGCGGCGAAGGTGGCAGCGATGTTGCGGGCGCCCACCACCTTGCTCATGAGCAGGTTGCACAGGCCGTAGCATGAGCCCACTGCACACCCCAACACTCCCATCACCACCTCCTGTCCCACTACACTTCCCTGCAACGTGAACACTAACACCAGATGTTACCAGCTCGCTCAACACACATGTAACAGCACACTCAACACACATGTAACAGCTCGCTCAACACACATGTAACAGCACACTCAACACACATGTAACAGCACACTCAACACACATGTAACAGCACACTCAACACACATGTAACAGCACACTCAACACACATGTAACAGCACACTCAACACACATGTAACAACACACTCAACACACATGTAACAGCACACTCAACACACATGTAACAGCTCGCTCAACACACATGTAACAGCACACTCAACACACATGTAACAGCACACTCAACACACATGTAACAGCACACTCAACACACATGTAACAGCACACTCAACACACATGTAACAGCACACTCAACACACATGTAACAACACACTCAACACACATGTAACAGCACACTCAACACACATGTAACAGCTCGCTCAACACACATGTAACAGCACACTCAACACACATGTAACAGCACACTCAACACACATGTAACAGCACACTCAACACACATGTAACAGCACGCTCAACACACATGTAACAACACACTCAACACACATGTAACACCACACTCAACACACATGTAACATCAACGCTAAATGCAGCCTATATGATATATAAAATCCATACATTAATGCGCTGTTTCCCACTAGCACCGTCTGGCGGGGAGTCAGTCAGGGGGTCAATATATCTCGGCCAGTAGTAATAGTGTCCTTAGTGTGGAGTTAGTGGTCAACAAACACACTACACTCCAGCACTCTTACTGAGAGTTAGTGGTCAACAAACACACTACACTCCAGCACTCCTACTGAGAGTTAGTGGTCAACAAACACACTACACTCCAGCACTCCTACTGAGAGTTAGTGGTCAACAAACACACTACACTCCAGCACTCCTACTGAGAGTTAGTGGTCAACAAACACACTACACTCCAGCACTCTTACTGAGAGTTAGTGGTCAACAAACACACTACACTCCAGCACTCCTACTGAGAGTAAGTGGTCAACAAACACACTACACTCCAGCACTCCTACTGAGAGTTAGTGGTCAACAAACACACTACACTCCAGCACTCTTACTGAGAGTTAGTGGTCAACAAACACACTACACTCCAGCACTCTTACTGAGAGTTAGTGGTCAACAAACACACTACACTCCAGCACTCTTACTGAGAGTTAGTGGTCAACAAACACACTACACTCCAGCACTCTTACTGAGAGTTAGTGGTCAACAAACACACTACACTCCAGCACTCTTACTGAGAGTTAGTGGTCAACAAACACACTACACTCCAGCACTCTTACTGAGAGTTAGTGGTCAACAAACACACTACACTCCAGCACTCTTACTGAGAGTTAGTGGTCAACAAACACACTACACTCCAGCACTCCTACTGAGAGTTAGTGGTCAACAAACACACTACACTCCAGCACTCTTACTGAGAGTTAGTGGTCAACAAACACACTACACTCCAGCACTCCTACTGAGAGTTAGTGGTCAACAAACACACTACACTCCAGCACTCCTACTGAGAGTTAGTGGTCAACAAACACCCTACACTCTAGCTGTCCTCCTGGGCAGCACCTACCGCTCCATGAGACGAGGTGCACTCACCTATTTGTATTCTGAGGTTGAGCTATAGCTCCTGGGTCGGCCATTGTAACAGTCAACTGTGATGTGACATTAAAGATGTGATGGAAGGTGCTTCCACCACTTCTCTCCTCGTATTACATTTGTTTACTTTCAAGGCATTGTAAACAATATTTAACTGAATTTACGTGAGGGCAACCATCTCTCTAGTGGCCTCGATGGTGGACAGAAAATCAGTGTGTTGTCAAAGGTCTCCGGGCTGAGAGAGAGTTCTGTACATAAATTATATTCTTCCACTGTTAAAAGGAGTTGGTTCTCAGATAATCAGATTAGTTACTAGATAAACTTCGCATAGTTCTTTAACAGCTATAACATCTATCACAGCTAGCTATCCATCTGTTTATAGTGCATAATTAGCCTCCTGAGCGCCTGTAACATCTCAACATTGTCAAACAGGTAAAGGAGAGAACTACATATCAACACTTAATGTTAAGTATCTGGTCAATATTTGTTGGAAATTTCCAACACTAAATACAACACTGTTGTATTCTTATTAATTCTTACTAATTCTACTAATCATTGTAGTGATTAAAATTAACCAAGCGTAGAGTTCACATGTACTAATAATTACATCTGTACAATAAGGCTAGAATTCTTACGTCACCCGACGCCAGTATTGCGTCAGATTCCATTGTAATAAACACATTTATATCCAATGTGTCTGAGAATTGAATTTGATTCTCTATAAACAACGGTGTTCTGTGTGATAATTAATTACAGATAAACTGATCCCCAACTAAAGCCAAATAGAGCGTTTATAGTTATAACTGTTATCTAGTAATAAATTTACGTCATGCATGAATGCCCTGGAGAGACTTTAATTCATCTCCATTGTTCGTTTACTATCATAAAACGGGCAAATAATAATATTTAACTCCTCTAAATAATAAACCCGTACTTATCCGAGCATTTCAATCACAACTGCGAGAAATGATAATATCCGCCATAAATAATTTGAGTAACAAACGCGGGACGCGGGGCGGAGGAGACGCCAGTTCACGAGGTGACGTGCTCACGGCGAGACGCCATTACCCCAGACACGAGGGTAGACGCCATCAAGAACTCGAGGAGAAAGTCGCCACTGTGAGGTGTGAAGAGCCTTTGCAGACATTAACTTTGCTGGTGTCAGTGTCATTTTACAAAACAAGTCGAATGGTCAAGAGATTAATTTGATATTCGGCCAGAACCTATTAAATTTGGTTCTATGTAATACCACGTGACCGGCCAGTGAAGCGCGTCAGTATCTAGGATAGGCTGGACCGGAACCTAGGATGCGAACTTCGGCAAGCCTTAACTTACACAGTGCCCATATTAGCTAAGTACCTTTATCCTTATTTGATGCATCATATAGGGGGTGGGTTTATAGCTGGGTAGCTTGTCGTGACGCCGTGCGACAATAAAAAACTACAGGTCATTATTTCCTCTTATTATTAATCTCAATTTCTTGAACATGGATATCTAGTAGCTTAATCTGTTGCTACTGAAAACAATTTGATTTACAGCGTGTGTGAAGAATTCTCCGAGCTGTCATTTCCCATGTTAATCAACTCCCAGTGTTCCATGACGAGTCCAGGAGAATCAGAGGATGAGTCGTAACTAACTTCTTGGAAATCGTCTTTAAGCTAAGATTCCTTTTTGTATTCCTTGATTTCTATTATCTGTATTCCTTTACATGCAGAACTCTGTTCATTGGATTAACATGTGTTTATTATAATTATTATATTCATGTTCGTAATCTATGTTCTCATTGATGATAAAGATAATGACTCTATAAATGTTCATAGGATTAGATTATTATACATTGGACTGGTGAACGAACCACACTAGTTCCTGGACGTATTGAGTTCCAGTAATACCTCCCCAATGTAGGTGTTTGAGGCTTTGATTCATTTAATTATACAGCCCATTAATTATTTCAGTGATCATATTCTCTAGTATTTTATCCATAGTTACTGGTTCATCTAGGAAATTTCTAATGATCATATTTTCTTAGTTTCCCTCTTTACTATAAAAGCGGGTGGTCCTTCGTAATTGATTTTCATTACTTTAATATTTAAATAAATAGAGTCAAGCCCCAAATGTCCCACAATATTATATTACTGGTGTGAAACGATATATCACAACTGTAATTGGCTTTTAAATATAATTTAACTTACCAATGACAGTGGTGCCCATGGTAGCCATGCCAGTCATGTAGCAGAGTTTCATGTTGAACCAGGAGAAGTCAGAGAGGAAGGACACGGTCATCCTGGTGAGGAAGCTGCACGCGCCCGCCACAGAGAGACACCAAGCAGCTGTCTGCAGAGAGTATCCAGCTGCTTGTATGGCGAATGGAACCAACGCAATGAAGTTCGAGTGGCCCCCGACAATGAGCATTGTTCCCAAGGCTACTATCAAGGCGGAAGGATGTCTTAAAATGCTGATGTCCTTTATAATGGAACGAACTACTCTTCTTATAGTAATGTATAGTTTGTACAAACGACTCGGACTGTTTTCCTCGGGTAATGAGGTGGTTTTCACGTCGGTGTTTAGAGAGTCCCGGTCGGGTAGCATAGTTAAGGAGCCTAGGGAGGCCAGGCTAGCCAGGTCTAGGTCAGATTGGCTGTATGATGAGGCTTTGCTAGATGCCCTGGACGTGTGAGAGCTCTGGCTCTCATGCCTACTTCTCTTGTGGGATACTTCCTTTGACTTGTTGTGTCTCCGTAAATGTTCCTGGGCTACCTCTGTTGACCACCGATGTTCTTCTGCCCTCGAAAGTGACCCATTAGAACAAGCCGCTTTTAAATTTGTGACTTCAGATTGTGCTTGCTTTGGCAGAAGCAAGGAGACACCTTCGTTGTGTGGTGGATGCGTGTCCCTGGCTGGGTATATCAAGTGCCACTCGACTGGTTGGTACAAGGTAGCGCCTACAAAGCCGTGGAGTACTACGGCTCCGAGGATCATAGTGGCGCCCTTGAGACCATACTTGTCTTGCAGGAACTGGATGAGGAGAGGACCTAAGAACTGGCCCAGACCGACACCGGCCGTGATGAAGGAGTTGGCCTTGCCTCGGTGCTTGTCGAAGTACTGAGCAATGTTGAGGAAGGCGGTGCTCGACAGCCCAGCTCCCGCACCTGGAGGTACGAGTTCAAATTAGCACTCAATTGTGAGTGTTCTCAGCCAGATGTGAGAGCAAGAATATGTGTGAGTCAGTAGAATATACATTATCATTTTGACGTATAAATCCCCTAAGGTGAACATGTCAAACTGAGGGTCCCCCGAGGGCCATATATATATATATATATATATATATATGGGTCACATTTGTGTTATCATGAGGCCACACATGACAACTAATTGGTCATTTAATAAAAATTATTGCAGAATATTTGTATTACTTAAACTTAGAAACATACATACAATGTGCATACAAATGATTTAGCGGCTAGCCACATTCATGAATGCAAGGTATTGAAATAGTTTACTGCACTGCGCCAAACAACAAATGTCGTTTTGAGAGTTGTGTTTTTGCTTCTTTTACATAGGCTATATTTTAATGTTTTTTAATGTTTTCATCACTCTTTGTGTTTTGAAATAAAAATAGTTGCGTTTGGAAACATTTTGACATTAACGTTTCCTGACCGTTAATAAAAACAACAAAATCATGTCCTTGACAATTGCACTTTGAAGTTTTTGCCAAAAACAGGTGCACAGTGCAGGGGTATTAACAAAAGAAAAACACGAGATTTTTGTCAGAAAACCCGACACCATTTACTAATATTAAATACAATAAGCAGATAATATTGCTGCTGTTGTATCCACAAGTTAACCCATAGAAAATGTAGCTTGTAGTGGAATTTTCCATCAATAGAAAACAGGATATCATTGCCACATAGTGCTATAAATTCACCAGCTATTCTCTCCCAGATGGACTAAAATACTGAACCTAAGACCAGAAACAAAGCTAACGTCGATTGAAATAAGGGTAAAAGGGATTGCTGCGTGCATGCTGACCAAGATATTGACTAGACCTAGAATCAGTTCACTTAAAGATATAATCACTGGAGCACTAACTCTGGACAGAAGAGCCTCCAATAGCAACAGGTGGACCCATTGTGCGATAAACACCGTCAATACATTCGATATAACAAACACAGTCACTGAGAGGGGTGTCGACGAAATACCTGCAGACTTTGTTATGCAAGCCCTTGGGAATCTCTGCCAGCAGACTTTAAGATTATGGCTCTTGAAGGAAAGAAGAAGCAGACAAATCCTCATCTGCTACGTAATATTGCACAGATGCATATAGAAGCAAACATGGCATCAGACAGCTTTACTTACTTCATAGATGGATCAGTAGACCAGCAGGGACAAGAAACCAGAGCTGCAGTTAAAGCAGGAAACTCTGTAAATAGTTGGAGGCTCTCAAATGGGTGTTCAACTTTACAAACAGAGATGCTAGCCATTCAAAAGGCTTTGGAACATGCTCTTGCTGAACACCGACAACATGTTATCATACATACAGATTCGAGAACCGCCATTGAAACCTTGCAACAAGAACACATATGTGATAACATCCATCTGATCACAAATGTCATATCATTCATGCAAACACTTAAACGACAAGGCCGACGGGTACTTATCAACTGGGTGCCAAGTCATGTGGGAATAATAGGAAATGACATTGCAGACGATGACCAGACCACACACTAGAAATTGAAGAGACGACGACGTTTCGGTCCGTCCTGGACCATTCTCAAGTCGATTGTGATGTCCTTTATAATGGAACGAACTACTCTTCTTATAGTAATGTATAGTTTGTACAAACGACTCGGACTGTTTTCCTCGGGTAATGAGGTGGTTTTCACGTCACAATCTTTGAAGTTTTTGCCAAAAACAGGTGCACAGTGCAGGGGTATTAACAAAAGAAAAACACGAGATTTTTGTCAGAAAACCCGACACCATTTACTAATATTTACTAATGGTCCAGGACGGACCGAAACGTCGTCGTCTCTTCAATTTCTAGTGTGTGGTCTGGTCATCATACTTCAGCCACGTTATTGTGACTCATCGCCTGCATTGCAGACGAAGCTGCAAAACTTGCTACTAAGAGGAGAAATGTACATTTACATACCACAGAGTCTATCTCAGATTAAGAAAGTAATTAGAAACAGAGCAATGCAAAAGATGTACAGTGACCACAACACAGCAGTTGCAACATCAGGATCTGCGGGTTGGTACAAGAATTCAACCAACTACGAACCACTTAGTTTGATGAAAGGGAACAGTAGAGCAACAGAAGTGCATTTACATCGCATCAGGCTTGGATACCCATGTGCATGGGAAATAGGCTTACAGGATCCGGAAGATGAGAGGAAATGTCAACACTGTGGAGAAATGCCCGACAGACCACTGGAACATTATCTAACACAGTGCACAGTTACAAACCCATTAAGATTTCAACTTAGATTCAACAGAGCAGAAGAAGTTGTTAAACACATATGGCAAAATCTTACTGAAGCGACCATACGAGTCATAAATACTCATACCCTGCCCAAGTAAACCAGAAACAAGCAACACTTAGTGGGCCAGCCAGAGGCTTAGGGCCCGCGCAGGAATATCCCTGCAAAAAAAACAGCTATTCTGTTGGGAATTATTCTTAAATACATTAGTCTTTGGACTTTTAATATCATAAAAACATCTCACTTGAATTAACATAATTATCAGTATCAAAATAGAGTAAATGTGACCCTTCTATCACATATTGACATCTGGACAAGGAGAGCCAGGCATCAGTGGTGAAGGTCAGCCATTGTTAACTGCCTTTACTCTCTCTTCCCTTGTCGTGTCCCTCTGCAGTAATACTTTCTTGTAACTTTTCTCATTGTACAGAAGGCCCTTCATTGCTAGAATTGCCTCTGTTGCATTCATGTTTTTAAATACTATCTTTATCAGGCGGTCTCTGTCCTTGTTAAGACCAAGTCGCTGTGGAGCAAATTCAGCTCCTATAATTCTCTTGGACGAAGTGTTATGGAGATCAAATTAGTGCTTCTTCCATCATCAACATGCAGTCAACATCTTAACATGAGAAGTGTCTTACCGAAACCCGTTTATCTAATCATTTCTGGCCAGTTAATGTTAGGTAGATATAGGGCGAACCGGTTAGCACGAGAAACAGCATCTAAACACAGGTAATAAATTCCTGGTCCTTATCTAATAATATATAAATTTTCATCTGATATAGCTGTCATATATTTAGATTTCGGCTTACAGCTAGTGCCCTTTGACAAGAGCAAAAAGAGGAAGCAAGAATTAATCTTGATACATCAGTGAGGTGTTAGAAGCTAGCCTCACATAAGGATTATTTGGTGTCTACATCCTAGTTATACCTGGTGGACTAAGCCTACTGTACAATAAGATAAGGCCTCATCATCTATTTTCTAATATATGTAGTTTAATACTGTAGTTTGGCTGCATATATATAGTGCCTGGTTTGCTTGTCTATGATTTACTTCAATACGCAAACCTGCTAATATATCCTGCATTGTCAGGACAGTATTAATCTGATATGAATATAATTCGTTTAGCACCATGCTAGACAATTTTCTTTGGATGACAATTTTAGTCATCCACTCAGCAGTGAGTTGATCCAACTGCACTGCTGAATGATTTTAACAGTGACTCGAATTTTAAAATAAATGTTTTGCAAGGTCTCAACTGATTGATCAGGTTGAGTTAAGTCCAATAGTTGGTGCTCGAGATTTACGATGGCCTTCTCATTGTCAGCACTTCTTCTAGAGAGTTGAATAGCTTGACTGATGCTAACACATTTGGCATTACCTTTAGGAGGCTGGTTTGAGTGGTTAGGACTATCACTAATTTGGTTTAAGGCTTCTTGCTTAGCCTCATTTTTAATTTCAGCTTTAGTTTTTAATTCAGCTGCATCTTCATCTTCTGTTTCAGCTTCACTGTCTGTTGCAGCTTCACTTATTTCTCTGGGTTCATCTGGAAGGCTTGTTAATTCAGTAGCCTCATGTATATAATTCACAGAAACCATGGAATATATAGATGAGCTTTCTGAAAGCTATTCGGATTCAGCTAATGTGTCATTGGGTGAAGCTATATTAGAGGAGACTGTAGAAAATATAGGTTTAACTTCAATACTTGATCCTGTGTAAGAGTCAAACTTAATAAGAGGAGTATCCTCATATTGATGCAGCTATTTATTTCATCTGATGAACTGGTTGCTTGCTTTGGTATGTGTATACTATAAAAGTGTTCTAATCCAGCAGGAATATTTTCTGTTGCAAGCATCTTAGTATAGTAATTTCACCTGACCTGAATTTTGTCTTTATAGTTGGCAAGGTCAGATATGATTTGATGTATTTCATCTCGGTCAGTGCTTGAATTTCTGGTTAGCCATCTTTGCTAAGAAATCTAGCGATATGAGATCAACTGGGTCTACTTCTACCCAACTGTCCCATTTGTTGATTAGCCTTGTCAAGTGACTTTGAAGGCCTTTCAAAATTCGTTCAGTTTTTTTCTGGTGTTGCCATGTTGGCTATGGGTTGAAGCCTAATAGGGCTTATATAGCAAAGTATTGACAGCTATGGTACTTGCTCATATATATATATATATATATATATATATATATGTGGAGCAGGTACACATATTGATAGCCTAATATTTAATTTCTTGGTTAGGCTATGGTTAATCCAACCTCGTATAGAGGTTAGCTTACCTACCTAATAGTAAATAGCTAGGATTTGAGTGATGCTTGGATGACACTTTGGTTGTACATCTGGCTAGCTCATTATTATCACCATCGGTTGGTGTAGTGCAACCTCATAACACTCTAGATGTCAACTATAGTGACACCTAGTAACACTCAAAGATGAACACAGTAAATATGTAATAAAATATAAGTACACACTTTGTGTAAAATAATACTCTTCACCCTTATCAGGGTCTGCACAACATTGAAAAGTAATTGACCAGTGCTGTTTAATATAGTGCTAGTCTGGTATTAATTCTACCTAATAAAGTAGCTAAATAGTTTAGGCTAGAGTTGTACATACCTTAGTACAATTCAAGTCTAAAAATATCCTACCTCTGTGGGTTGACATAAAATACAATAAATGATGTACAAAATATTTGAATATATAGCAGTGCTATTTTTTTCTTATAATTTTGATACATATATAGAATATACACTTATAAGAAGTACGTGTTTAAGAAACTTAACTGTATACAGTTAATGTTGGCTCTCTGGCCGAAATCTTCTGTGAAGATTAATAGTATTAATTAATTTATTATTCACATATGTCTTGAGTTATCTTGAGATGATTTCGGGGCTTTAGTGTCCCCACGGCCCGGTCATCGACCAGGCCTCCAACCCCAGGAAGCAGCCCATGACAGCTGACTAACTCCCAGGTACCTATTTACTGCTAGGTAACAGGAGTATCAGGGTGAAAGAAACTCTGCCCATCATTTCACGCCGGCGCCCGGGATCGAACCCGGGACCACAGGATCACGCGTCCAGTGTTCTGTCCGCTCAGCCACCGGTTCCTGCCTTAGACTCTCGTAACAGGTTTTCACGAATTAGTCTGGCAAAAGGAATATGGGTGATGTTACCACCAAATAAATAATGGTTAAATGGTGTGACGAATTTAATACAGATATTAACACAAGGTTATTAATTGTGAGCCATTGCTCTGGGAGATCTCATTATCTTCAGCTCTGTGTGAGGTATAGGACTCAATGTGTGGGCAATGAACTATAGCCCATTAAACCCTGATGTAGACATTGGCTTTAATCTGGAAAATGAATAATATGAAATAATTGGGTTAGGCTATAATATGTGTGGCCTACTAACGGCCGTAAATAATAATGAATATATAGCCTATTCTGATAATACTACTCAATTAGGAGTATACTATAATCAGGGTTAGTAATTTAGCTGAGTTATAATAGATTATATAGGACCAGTAATTTAACTTCATATACTGGACCATAAATTATTTATGAATTTATACTTGTTATGCAAATCAGTAATTTATATTAATATGTTGGTCTATCCGGTTCGAAGTCGACCAAAAGATGTGGGGGAGAATTTAATTCTATAATGAAATTATAGTAAAGTTTCGAAGGACCAATATTATTATTAAAATTAAGAGAACCAGTGGCTTATGGAACTCTTAATAATTAATTCAAAAATGTAATTAAATATATTTAAAGAAATGGACTGTAATAGTAATAATAATTCAGAACTAAATCCTAATACCCTACAACTTGGGGGGTTAATAATGGGAAGTTAATGCTCTTCAATAATAATAAGAAGTTAATACACTTCTGTTAATGAAATCATATATATATAAATTATAATTTAACTCAATAATGAATGATGACTATCTACAATAGAATACTGGAAACGTTTTAGCTGTATCAGATGATCGTAGATCACGTCCAGCCTCTACAACACGTTTAATCCAGTCCTAGATAGCAATCTGTGGGAACACGTGATCGTGGAATCAGTAACACGTCTCCCTCAGTCTTAATACCACGCTGAAAGGTAAAACTTATATAATTTCTACTCCAACTTAGTATTCGCGCATTTAACCGCAAGATCCAAAATAATTGGAGGGATAAAAGCTGTATTCACTGGGTGTTTTATATCGCCTGCATCATCACAACAGCAAACTAAATAGAATTGTGAATAAAGACCAATACTACAAACTCTAGATAGTACTTCACTGCCGAACGTGGTGTTCGTAAGCTGGGAAGGCTGCACTCTCGATCAGAAGCTTGCAGAATAATGGATCCTCCTAGGAAAGATCGATTTATGTAAAGTGGCTCCAGAACACTTTGATGCTAGCTAGTGTTATGATCCCAGGTAGCCGAAAGATGAGTCTTCCCTTGAGAATTATTCTATCAAGCCTGACCTGACTAGAGGGTCTAGGAAATATAGAGGTGATAACACAGATGTAAAATAGTTGGTTGGATTTAATAAACAATTTGAGATTATGGGCAGTGAATAAGAAAATAGATAAATGACTGGTTAGGAGATGTGGAAAATTTACTGGAGGCGTGAGGCTCCCTTCTGGAGGGCTCTGACCTCACTTGAGTGCCAAACATCGCAAGGGGAAGCCGTGCTCCGTTTGAGCTCCCGTCAGAAAGGAACCCCTAGTGATATATCTCCAAGAGAGGAGAAGTGTGCAGATATTCCAGCTGTGGAATCGAACTGGGAACGTTGTGGTCTCAAGTCCTGGACGGCGAGGAGTGTTTATTAAGCCGCCCAGAGATATTATCGTGGGCCGTGGGAGTGCCCTGGCCAGACTCCGTCAGAGGGAGGAGCGCCCTCAACTAGACAATCTGTGGTAAGCACGATTTAAGCCAGTCTATAGTGATTACTTGTAGTTGGTCGTGTGCCCAGCGACAGTAGCAATGTTTATTGATAGGTTAGACATGTTTTGATAAGGCAGAAGGCCTAAAATAAGAGAGTGGAGAGGGAGGAACGTCCTGGATGACGGAGCGACGTCCGTCCCCTCTGAGCGCTGGCAGGTGACTGAGGGAGCCCGGCTCCTGGCAGTGGAGGACCCTCCCAGAGTGAGTGAGGACCGCCGGGCGAGGTGGAGCATGGACCAGCCCAAAACGAGGGAGTCCACTCTCACAGTATGTAGAGAGCAGATAGATGTTGGAGGCAAATATATTTTTGTTTATGTGTTTAAGGGGAAACATTTTTATTGGAGTGTCAATGGGTTGCAGGTTTGTCTTTGGGGAAGAAATTGCTGAGAACTTCGAAGCCAGCACAGAGGGAGTAGTTGATGAGACTCCAAGGTAGTGGAAGAGTAGGACCTCGAGCTGTGAGGAGAAGCAGTGAAGAGGAGTGTCACGTGCTTCTGTAGAAGTGGCGAAGCACCATAGTTGCTCAAGGAAAACTTCATGGTGTAGCAGCCTGGAGGAGCTGCAGAGGATCCTGGTAGTTAAACCTGGAAGAACCTGAAGAGATCAGGGTAGTGAACTTCCAGATGTGGAAGGGAAGTCTAAATGATTACTTGTAGGGAGGTGATAGAGTGGTTGTCATTAGCGTGCAAGACGCAGTGAAAGGTGAGTGATTGTTTGCCATTCTTGTGCCGAGGGGTGTTTGTACTGAAGTTTAGAGTTACAGTCGTAGGCTGGATTACCTACAGATGTATGTGTTCTAGGACTGATAAGGTGATCGATTGATCATTGTTGTGTATCAAGGAACATTTATACTGATATATATATATGTTATTGCATTCATACGCTGATTTTCCTTGTACATGTTTATAGATATATATATATTCTCTTGCTGATAGTGCAACATTGTATTATAAGACTTGATCTACTTGAGGAGGTTGATAATATTAGGTGGTGAATCAGGAGATAGGATACCACTTGATAAGCTGATGATAGAGTTCTGATGGTGTTGGAGTGAACCTGACTGAAATAATATAGAGTGTAGGATTCATTATTATTATATGTGTGTATGTATTGTGTATGTGCTTTGTCCAGTAAATGTATCCAAATTTGCTGGTGTTTGCCCTTGTCCTAGTGAGGCTTCCCAGGAGGTAGTAAAGAAGGAGAGAAAGAAAGAGAAAGAACCAAGAACCACTGCTGTGGACAGGGTAGGACAGAAAACTAATAAGTCAAAGGGGATTGAGGAGATCATTTCACATAAGGAGAGAGTGGGGAGTCACAGCGGCTCGAGTGGGTGTGTGCACGTGACAACGAGGCTAAGTATTGGAGCCGCATCCCCCTAAACATGTGACGTTTAGCCCTCTCCAAGAGCCAGAAGCGCCCAGGATGATCTCCTAGTGAAGTATAAGCACTCTACCGAGTTGTGGGTTGGGTTGTCCGTAACGAAGGATCAACAACACGACAACACCACCAACCCACACTATAATACTAGTCAATATGGCGGAAGTCTCTTCCCTTTTCTCCTCCCTCCAGTGACGCATGTGTACTCGCGCCTATGCTGGAACTCTGGGTATAATTTATAATATTTCAAACAGAGCTCCTTATGGATGGAGAGGTGCTTGACGAATATTTACATCATAATACAGGGTCTTATGAGACAATAAATGATGTTTCATAGTGCGGGTCAATTAATTTAGCCGACATTAAATGCGCGAAACATTAAGAGTGGAAATCAAGTTTAACGTTTTAGGTACTGGAACATCTGATCAAGACTGTAACCAGTTATTTTCAGTAAACGAACGTATATACTATTAAAGGAAGGTAAATCTATTATTAATCGATTATCCTTAATAATGAAAAGTAAATGAGGTGGGATTCAATTCGATCCATTAATATGAAGAAATAATTCCCTGTGGCTGGTTGGCTGACACAACACGGCGATGATTCTAGGGGGGATAAATCCGGCGGTACTATGGCTTAATTAAATTAATTTAATTTTCTCTACTCTACTGATTAATAGTGTTAGTAAATCATAATGCCTAGTAGAAGAATTACATCTTATTGTACTAGGTGTTAGTAATTAAATATTTGAAATTTCCAACAACCACAGCCCAGGGAGAAGAGACAAGCAGAAGTGTTACTGACCACAGCCCAGGGAGAAGAGACAAAGAGAAGTGCTACTGACCACAGTCCAGGGAGAAGAGACAAAGAGAAGTGCTACTGACCACAGCCCACGGAGAAGAGACAAACAGAAGTGCTACTGACCACAGCCCAGGGAGAAGAGACAAAGAGAAGTGCTACTGACCACAGCCCACGGAGAAGAGACAAAGAGAAGTGCTACTGACCACAGCCCAGGGAGAAGAGACAAAGAGAAGTGCTACTGACCACAGCCCAGGGAGAAGAGACAAAGAGAAGTGCTACTGACCACAGCCCAGGGAGAAGAGACAAAGAGAAGTGCTACTGACCACAGCCCAGGGAGAAGAGACAAAGAGAAGTGTTACTGACCACAGCCCAGGGAGAAGAAGAGAAAGAGGAGCTGAGGAGAGGTGGCGAAGGCGCTGATGGTGAGACAGGAAGACGTCAGCAAGGTGCCCGTCATGGCCACCCGCCGGAAGCCGAACTCTCGCACTAGAGAAGCCACGATGACGGACGACAACTTCCACACCAGCATGAAGGCGCTGTAGATGATGGCGACGGTTGTCGTGGAGGCGCGCCACTCCAGCAGCTGGCGGGAGAACAGTATCCCGAAGCTGGGCGACAACATGGGCACCACCAGCTGCAACAGTCAACATGGTCACACATTAAACAACATGGGCACCACCAGCTGCAACAATCAACATGGTCACACATTAAACAACATGGGCCCCACCAGCTGCAACAGTCAACATGGTCACACATTAAACAACATGGGCACCACCAGCTGCAACAGTCAACATGGTCACACATTAAACAACATGGGCACCACCAGCTGCAACAGTCAACATGGTCACACATTAAACAACATGGGCCCCACCAGCTGCAACAGTCAACATGGTCACACATTAAACAACATGGGCACCACCAGCTGCAACAGTCAACATGGTCACACATTAAACAACACATCCTCCGAATTGACAGTACGGTTTAACACTAAGTGTAATAAGTAAATTTTCTGACTGCTAGGAATAGTACAAAATTACACTTAATTGTGCTGTTACATTTACCTCCCCATATATTCTCGCTTTCTGTTGAGACACTCAGAATTTTAGGATGAAGTTTTCATGTTCAATTCTCTATACACAAGTTTTAAATAAAAAGAATTTATTTTTCAGTTTTATTAAACAATAAATATTTTATACAAAATTTGAAAATATCCTGAGTTACTTTACAATTTATTAAAATGTTTTTAGTTTTTTAGATTGACTATTCATGCCCATGCCACCTTTTGGGAGGCTTAATTTTTATCAATCAATCAATTTGTAATCATTCCAGCTCTGCCTTTGACAGTGTTAACAAGGGTTGCCGAACCGCAACTCTTAGCCTCAGGCCAAATAAAATTGTATGAATGAACATCGGAGAGTTAAATTTTCAACTTCCTTATCAAGTGAAGAGAAATGTAAAAAAATATAGAGAAGATCCGTGCTAGTATTATTAATCTCACCTTTTCGGTCACATTCAATAACATATATATATATATATATATATATATATATATATATATATATATATATATATATATATATATATATATATATATATATATATATATATATATATATATATATATGTCGTACCTAATAGCCAGAACGCACTTCTCAGCCTACTATTCAAGGCCCGATTTGCCTAATAAGCCAAGTTTTCATGAATTAATGTTTTTTCGTTTACCTAACCTACCTAACCTAACCTAACCTAGCTTTTTTTGGCTACCTAACCTAACCTTACCTATATATATATGTTAGGTTAGGTTAGGTAGGGTTGGTTAGGTTCGGTCATATATCTACGTTAATTTTAACTCCAATAAAAAAAAAATGACCTCATACATAGTGAAAAGGGTAGCTTTATCATTTCATAAGAAAAAAATTATAGTAAATATATTAATTCAGGAAAACTTGGCTTATTAGGCAAATCGGGCCTTGAATTGTAGGCTGAGAAGAGAGTTCTGGCTACTAGGTACGACATATATATATATATATATATATATAGTCCCACTGGTGGGTGTTGTCCAAAGATTATTTATCTTCACTTGTGGTTTATGCAAGTATAGGCTTATAAGCTGGACACGAGTTCTCTCACATTGACAGTGGCTTGACGAAAAATGCAGACTGACCCCACACTCATCTGGTGCCTTCGGGAAGTAGAGATGTTTGGGATATATATCTCGAACTATCTACTTCTTTTGTAAGGTCTGATGGTGTAGTGGGTTAAAGCATACTAGTTATGGCAGCTACTGGAAGGTAGTTGTTCTTTCTGGGTTCGAGTCCCCACTGGTGGGTGTTGTCCAAAGATTATTAATCTTCACTTGTGGTTTATGCAAGTATAGGCTTATAAGCTGGACACGAGTTCTCTCACATTGACAGTGGCTTGACGAAAAATGCAGACTGACCCCACACTCATCTGGTGCCTTCGGGAAGTAGAGATGTTTGGGATATATATCTCGAACTATCTACTTCTTTTGTAAGGTCTGATGGTGTAGTGGGTTAAAGCATACTAGTTATGGCAGCTACTGGAAGGTAGTTGTGCTTTCTGGGTTCGAGTCCCACTGGTGGGTGTTGTCCAAAGATTATTAATCTTCACTTGTGGTTTATGCAAGTATAGGCTTATAAGCTGGACACGAGTTCTCTCACATTGACAGTGGCTTGACGAAAAATGCAGACTGACCCCACACTCATCTGGTGCCTTCGGGAAGTAGAGATGTTTGGGATATATATCTCGAACTATCTACTTCTTTTGTAAGGTCTGATGGTGTAGTGGGTTAAAGCATACTAGTTATGGCAGCTACTGGAAGGTAGTTGTGCTTTCTGGGTTCGAGTCCCACTGGTGGGTGTTGTCCAAAGATTATTAATCTTCACTTGTGGTTTATGCAAGTATAGGCTTATATATATATATATATATATATATATATATATATATATATATATATATATATATATATATATATATATATATATATATATATATATGTTTCATTGAATATGACCGCATATTCTGTATTTATTATTTTCTGGTTTAGGGCTTCTATCCCTCTAACTATTTTCTTAGCATCAGGGCTTAATTGAAATAGGAGTTCTCCAAAACTCATTTTCGTACTTTTAAGGTGAAGAAAAGAAGTGATTTACTATAGAGTGTATTACACTTATTTGTATAATTTGCACGACGTTTCGAACCTCCATGGTTCATTCTCAAGTGAACAGATCTTACAATACTAGTTGATTTTATACCCGCATTAGGTCAGGTGATAATACAATGAAGGTGAAAACATGGGGGGATACATAAGGGATAAACATAGGGCTGCAGAAGGCTTTTTGGCCCATACGAGGCATCTCCTATCTAAACACAAAGATTAATCCAGTGTAATTGGCCAATTACACTGGATTAATCTTTGTGTTTAGATAGGAGATGCCTCGTATGGGCCAAAAAGCCTTCTGCAGCCCCTATGTTTATCCCTTATGTATCCCCCCATGTTTTCACCTTCATTGTATTATCACCTGACCTAATGCGGGTATAAAATCAACTAGTATTGTAAGATCTGTTCACTTGAGAATGAACCATGGAGGTTCGAAACGTCGTGCAAATTATACAAATAAGTGTAATACACTCTATAGTAAATCACTTCTTTTCTTCACCTTAAAAGTACGAAAATGAGTTTTGGAGAACTCCTATTTCAATTAAGCCCTGATGCTAAGAAAATAGTTAGAGGGATAGAAGCCCTAAACCAGAAAATAATAAATACAGAATATGCGGTCATATTCAATGAAACATGTTTGAAAGAAAACCTGCTGCCAGTATACACCAATATATATATATATATATATATATATATATATATATATATATATATATATATATATATATATATATATATATATATATATATATATATATATATATATATTAAATATGACCGAAAAAGTAAGATTAATAATTCTAACACGAATTTTCTCAATCTTTCATACATTTCTTTTCACTGTTGGAGGTAAATCAAAAATCAATTCTCCAAAATTCATTTTTATTTCTAGTCTGACGCGACACGAGCGCGTTTCGTAAAACTTATTACATTTTCAAAGACTTTAGTTCACAAATACACAACTGAATAGAACTTACGCATCTCCGATTTTATATCTACATTTGAGTGAGGTGGAAGGGGTGATGTGGCATTAACACAAGACAGAACAAGAGGTGGCATTAATAGGGTATTAATTTCATCAACACAAGACAGAACAAGAGGTGGCATTAATAGGGTATTAATTTCATCAACACAAGACAGAACACGAAACAATGGGTATTGAATAGAAGTGTTTGTAGAAAGCCTATTGGTCCATATTTCTTGATGCTTCTATATTGGAGCGGAGTCTTGAGGTGGGTAGAATATAGTTGTGCAATAATTGGCTGTTGATTGCTGGTGTTGACTTCTTGATGTGTAGTGCCTCGCAAACGTCAAGCCGCCTGCTATCGCTGTATCTATCGATGATTTCTGTGTTGTTTACTAGGATTTCTCTGGCGATGGTTTGGTTGTGGGAAGAGATTATATGTTCCTTAATGGAGCCCTGTTGCTTATGCATCGTTAAACGCCTAGAAAGAGATGTTGTTGTCTTGCCTATATACTGGGTTTTTTGGAGCTTACAGTCCCCAAGAGGGCATTTGAAGGCATAGACGACGTTAGTCTCTTTTAAAGCGTTCTGTTTTGTGTCTGGAGAGTTTCTCATGAGTAGGCTGGCCGTTTTTCTGGTTTTATAGTAAATCGTCAGTTGTATCCTCTGATTTTTGTCTGTAGGGATAACGTTTCTATTAACAATATCTTTCAGGACCCTTTCCTCCGTTTTATGAGCTGTGGAAAAGAAGTTCCTGTAAAATAGTCTAATAGGGGGTATAGGTGTTGTGTTAGTTGTCTCTTCAGAGGTTGCATGGCTTTTCACTTTCCTTCTTATGATGTCTTCGACGAAACCATTGGAGAAGCCGTTATTGACTAGGACCTGCCTTACCCTACAGAGTTCTTCGTCGACTTGCTTCCATTCTGAGCTGTGGCTGAGAGCACGGTCTACATATGCGTTAACAACACTCCTCTTGTACCTGTCTGGGCAGTCGCTGTTGGCATTTAGGCACATTCCTATGTTGGTTTCCTTAGTGTAGACTGCAGTGTGGAAACCTCCGCCCTTTTCCATGACTGTTACATCTAGAAAGGGCAGCTTCCCATCCTTTTCCATCTCGTAAGTGAAACGCAGCACGGAACTCTGCTCAAATGCCTCCTTCAGCTCCTGCAGATGTCTGACATCAGGTACCTGTGTAAAAATGTCGTCAACATACCTGCAGTATATGGCCGGTTTCAAGTTCATGTCGACTAAGACTTTTTGCTCGATGGTACCCATGTAGAAGTTTGCAAACAGGACACCTAGGGGAGAACCCATGGCGACCCCATCTACTTGCTTATACATGTGCCCATCCGGGCTCAAGAAGGGTGCCTCTTTAGTACAAGCTTGGAGTAGTTTCCTCAGAATATTTTCTGGTATGTCAAGAGGAGTACAGGCTGGATCATGATACACTCTGTCGGCTATCATTCCGATTGTCTCGTCCACAGGTATG